TGAAAACATCCAGAGAGTGGCCGCGGGGGTGCTCTGCGAACTGGCGCAGGACAAGGAGGCCGCGGAAGCGATCGAGGCCGAGGGCGCCACGGCGCCCCTCACGGAGCTGCTGCACTCGAGGAACGAGGGCGTGGGTGCGTAGAGGGGACAGACCGAGAGCTGGGGCGCAGTAAAGCCTATGTCTGTCCTAAGGGCCTTTCTCCCTGTCCTCCCCAGCAACGTATGCGGCTGCTGTCTTGTTCCGGATGTCCGAGGACAAGCCGCAGGACTACAAGAAGCGGCTTTCCGTCGAGCTGACCAGCTCTCTCTTCAGAACGGAGCCAATGGCTTGGAATGAGGTAGGCGGAGGGGGCGCACGGGGCAGCTCACCGTTTGCCCGCGCAGCACTGGGCGCGCGTTCATTTGTGACAGGTCGTTGGCTCGACTAGTCATTCATGCTGTACGAGCGGCGACTGGGAGGACTGCAGCCCCCAAAAGCCTGCTCCGCGTGAGCCAACTGCCTAACCTCCGAGCTCACTAGGGAGGGAGATGAAAAGTTATCAGAGTAAAGGGTGTAAAGAAAGAGGCATAATCCGTTTAAACTGTTAGTCGGAGGTCATTTTATCAATACTTTGTTTTTAATGCCCAGTGTGCATCTACTTGAATATCTATGAATTTTTTAGTATTTCTCCTCAGCACCGAGTTAATTCACTGAAACATTAGAACATCAGTTGTGGTACACGGTGATATTTATTGGATGAGTGCAGGGACCCTATACATCATTAGTTGAAAAGAATTGCCAAACAGTGAGTAATGTGTTAGCTAGGTTTCTAATGGGCCATCTTAACATGTCCCAACTTGAGCTCTGAACTTCTCCACCCACCCCCTCCCCAAACCTGTCCCTGTCCTAATTTTCTCCATCTCGGCTAATTGCAGTTTCTGCACAGGCCGAGTCCTCTTTCATGTGCCGTGCTGGGGCAAACACTCTGCCTGTTTTATTATTGTATCTCTAGCACCTAGAACAGTGCCTGACGCATTAGTAAGTACTTAATGTATGTTTGCTAAAAGGATATGAGTTAGTGAATTTTTTAAATGCTGTGTCTAGTGGGAAAACAAGTTTCTCTGAGCATCAGTGGTTAATCTTTGAGTAGAGTTTAAGTATCTGTATTGTATTTTTAAATCTGTATTTTCTAAGTATTTCTGTAATGTTTGAGAGAGTGTACTTGGAGAATTTTCATTTTGCTTCCTGGCCTTGTACCTGTTTATCTAGACTGCTGATCTTGGACTTGATATTGGTGCCCAGGGAGAACCCCTTGGATATCGCCAGGATGGTATGTATCTTACATTTCTCAATTAACTCTCGATCAAGCTACAGTTCCAAAGTTTTATCAAAAGGGCTAGTCTGCTTATCTGGGAAGCCAGTGTTGGCAGGAAAGCAGTGGCAGTAATTAAAGTCAGTTCTTAAATTCCAGAGTCAGCACAGGGAATTCTGAGCCACACTGAGCAAGCAGAAGGATCGCATCAACAAATACTTGTCACTACTGCTGGGTTTCTGGGTTGGTTTGGGGTGGGGTGGGGGTGTTTCGTTGTTTTTTGTCAGAGAAGCCACAATACCTGGGTCTACAACCCACTAGGAAGTGAGAGTCTGGGAAGCTTATGTCCCAAAGCTCAGATCAGGGGTGGGTATTTACATAGTTGGAGCATGGGGTAGACCACTAACAGCTATAACTTTTCGTCTTAAATTATAATCTCAACTTGTTTTTCCTAATTATTAAACCACTAAAGCCCCCATGACTTCTTACCTTGACAGACATACAAATGTCATCCCTTAAGATAAAACATGTAAAGGTTTCATGGGAAACAATGTCTCTAGTTTTCTCTGTACTTGTGGGCATCACCTGGACTTTTCAGACAAAGAAATTAGCCAGACTTCCTCCTTGTTGCCTCACTTCTGCCCCTGGCTTCTCGCTGCCTGGGTGGTCGTGTACAGGGCATTGCCGCTGCTCCTCCTGAGGAACTGTCTCTGCCTGGGTCAGTGCAGAATGTTCCGGGTAAACTGGTGGCGTGACTAGAACCTGCATGTCTGCGTTTTGTGGAAACAGACTTTGTAGCCTCTTGGGTGGCCTGGCGTTGGGTAATTACTTGGCTGAAGCAAGCTAGAGGTTGAGGCGGTGAGAAAGCAGTGCTTTCTGGCGAGTGCACAGCGATGCGGTGGCCCTAACCTCAGTGTTAACTTCTGCGTCTTTCTCCTCTCACCCCCTTGCCCGTTTTGCTGCCACCCTGACTCTTCTAGATCCCAGCTATCGTTCTTTTCACTCCGGTGGCTATGGCCAGGATGCCTTGGGAATGGACCCCATGATGGAGCATGAGATGGGTGGCCACCACCCTGGTGCTGACTATCCAGTTGATGGGCTGCCAGATCTGGGGCACGCCCAGGACCTCATGGATGGGCTGCCTCCAGGTGACAGCAATCAGCTGGCCTGGTTTGATACTGACCTGTAAATCACCCTTAGGTAAGAAGTTAAAGCCAGTTGGGTAAAATACTTTTACTCTGCCTACAGAACTTCAGAAAGACTTGGTTGGTAGGGTGGGAGTGGCTTAGGCCTACTTGTAAATCTGCCACAGAAACGGATACATCCATACTTTGAAAGGAGATGTCTTAGAACATTTGAATGTTCTCAGATTTCTGGTTGTTACGTGGTCATGTGTGGAAGTTATTAACTTTAATGTTTTTTGCCACAGCTTTTGCAACTTAATACTCAAATGAGTAACATTTGCTGTTTTAAACATTAATAGCAGCCTTTCTCTCTTTATACAGCTGTATTGTCTGAACTTGCATTGTGATTGGCCTGTAGAGTTGCTGAGAGGGCTCGAGGGGTGGGCTGGTATCTCAGAAAGTGCCTGACACACTAACCACGCTGAGTTTCCTATGGGAACAATCGAAGTAAACTTTTTGTTCTGGTCCTTTTTGGTCGAGGAGTAACAATGCAAATGGATTTGGGGAGTGACTCGAAGTGACGAATGCACAAGAATGGATCACAGGATGGGATTTATCAAACTCTAGCCTTGCTTGTTAAAATTTTTTTTAATATCTGTAATGGTACTGACTTTGCTTGCTTTGAAGTAGCTCTTTAATTTTTTTTGCAGTAACTGTTAGTTTTTTAAGTCTCGTAGTGTTAAGTTATAGTGACTACTGCTACAGCAATTTCTAATTTTTAAGAATTGAGTAATGGTGTAGAACACTAATTCATAATCACTCTAATGTAACCTGAATACAGTGTAACATTGTGTAGCCTTTTTGTATAAAATAGACAAATAGAAATGGTCCAATTAGTTTCCTTTTTAATATGCTTAAAATAAGCAGGTGGATCTATTTCATGTTTTTGATCGAAAACTTTATTTGGGATATGTATGGGTAGGGTAAATCAGTAAGAGGTGTTATTTGGAACCTTGTTTTGGACAGTTTACCAGTTGCCTTTTATCCCAAAGTTGTTGTAACCTGCTGTGATACAATGCTTCACGAGAAAATGCAGTTATAAAAATGGTTCAGAATTAAACTTTTAATTCATTCAATTGTGTCACCTTTCTTTCCTTGTTAGTAAGTTGTTTTGTAAGGGTAGTAGGTATGTTCACATACGTAGTGAACTTACTGTAAGTGATGGAGCCTTACCTTTAGATGGGAATGGTAGCCGTTTCTCTAGCACTTGCCACTGAATTAAATGGCACCAAAAATTATTTCCGCTTTGATCACTGATCCTGAGCTTTGTGTAAGAGGAGTGATTCTGCCATCTCCACCTGAAGGACTCTGGGCTCAGACCCTGTGGCCAAGACTTCAGCTTCCCTCTTGCTGTGGTCATGTGCATAGTCCTGCGCAAGTGACCAAGGCATCCATCTAGGCTTTGGGCCCCACAGAGCAAAGCTGAAAGCCAAACAGGCACCCCCACCCCAGACGTACTACGTGAGGGTAAAAACGAAGACTTAACTACACGCGTTTGGACCTCAAGCACCTCCACTTAAGTGGGACTCATTTGGAGCGGGGAATTCCTTTGGCTCCACTTTCAACTGATAATTAAGTTGGGTTAAGTGCAGATGTTTATCTGAACACTGAGAGACCCAGAACAGGCCTTTTCCACGCTGCCTGCCAGGTGATCCTGTCATCCTGGTGGTGGGTCTCTCAAGCTCTCCCTCTCCCTTAGGGCAGAGTCAGTAGACCTGTTAAGACTTGTATTTTGCTTTTTAAAAAGTAGTTTGTGCTGAGGGAGGGCTGCTTCTGATTTGGGTGGCCATTTGGATAAAATTGAAATTAATGCAAAAACAAATCCTTGACCAGCAATCTATCAATTTTAAATAAAAACCGTTCTCAGTATTTTTCTTCTGCCTCAAGGTCCAGCACGGCTTGATAGGGCACTGGGTGAACAGCAGCCCACCCTGGAAGCCCACGTGTCCAACAGTCGCTTCATTCACACGAGAGTGGCCATACTGCAGCGAAAACAACTTTACACAATAGCTGGGCTGTATCTCAAAACATAACATTAAAACAAAAGAAAGTCATAAATGCATACTCTAGGGCTACACTGATCCAAAGAAAGGGCAGCCTGTTTTAAGGAAATCATCCATGGGTGGTAAACTGAAAAGCCAAGGAAGTTACTAGATTACTACAAACACCAGGAGGGTGGTTACCTGGGATGGAGGTGCCCAGGACATTGGATTACATGGCCCTGGCCACTGCTGAGCAGAATGAAGCTTTTCCATGTTGGAGGTGATCTAGACAGGAGGCATGAATCTGATCGTTTGAATCCTTGACAGTGAAAGATCTACGCTTTTTAATTCTTGTTTTGATTACTGTAATAAAAGCAAGATCTGAATTGTACTGTTTGGTTTAATTAGCAAAGAGCCGAGTCGATGCACTGCTGTTTGTCCTAGCAGGCGAGAACCTGTTTTGCTTGCCTTGAGCGAACCAGCCCCCCAAAGGCAGTTACAAAGTGGTGGAGGGGTGAGGGTGGGGCTGAAAAGGCAGGGCCTCCCTTCTCTGCCCTCCTGTGTGGAGTCCGCCCCCTCCCCACCCTGAGACTCCAGTAAGCTAGAGGGGGCTACAGGCCCCCCGACCCCCTCCACAGGAAGCCTCCAGCGAGAGGCCAGGATGGGCTCGGGCCTGTCTTCCAGGTCACATCAGCACCCACCTCCCTGGCCTTGTTCTAGGCCGCGGCTGCTTTTCTTGCCTTTGTTCCCCCACTTCCCTCAGCCCCACTGAAGCTTGAATCTAATGGGGCCGCCTCAACTTCAGCTCGTCTGGTTCCCAGACAGCTCCAAGGGGCCAGGCCCCTTTCTTTGGGCTTTTGCAGCTTCCTGCCTCCAGCCCCCCTTCCCGAGGCTCCCACCTCGGCCCTGCTTGTACCTGCATGATAGGGATTTATTTCTGCGTCCTGTTTTCCTGTTGCTAGGGGAGGAAGAAAGGCTTTGTTTCAAGGAGAGACCCGGTTCCTCTCCTACCACTCACCTTGGACAAGAGCCTGAGTCCCCAGGACCCCCACTTTCTGAGCTTCCCTACAGGGGTAATGCCTGCTCTGCATTCAAAGAGCTGACCTGGAACCTCATCAGATAACACAAGACCTCCTGGTCACAAGGGAAATGCAAGAAGCTGGACACGTGCAAAGAACACAAAGCAGGCAGTTCTGTCGCGGCTCCCAGCAGACCTTCCTCCTCAGCTGCCCCATGACTGTCACTTCCTCTCCACCTGTAGCCAGTCACCCCCTGGTTCTTCACAGGGACAGTGAAGCACCTACTCTCAGGCAGAGTTAAGGCAGGGTCCTCAGGCTTTAGGCCTGTTAGTTGAGGGAAAGAGGTGGCCCTGTGCGGCCACTCCCCTGCCCGCTCTGCTGACTTCAGGGACACCCTCCACTCCTGGGAGGCTCAGCCACTGGGTTGTAGCCAGTTGGAGAGCACAGAGCTGAAGCTTGGAGGGGGAGGGGGAAGGGAGGGCCAGCAGGAGCCTGGTGTGGGCCCCTGACCACTGTCAGAATCCTGAGAGCTCCGATGCGGACTAGGCTCCAGCTCCTTAGAACGGAGCCAAGATGAGGGCGTGGGCCTCGCATGGGGAAAGCAGGGGAGGGTACGGCCCTCGGTCTCTGCAGGAGAGGTGGTGAGACACAGGCGCAGGCAGGCTGGGGACCACAGCTCATCCACTGGGCGAGCGCAGGTGGCAGGCCCACCGGCCCCCACAGAGAGGGAAGGACATTCTGCGAACAGCTGGCAAGCCTGGGTGACCTGTGGGCGAGCCCCGCAGCACCGACGGGGTCTATTCGGAGTGCGCTTTAGGGCCCAGAGTAAGAGCGCCGTAGCCGGGAGGTCGGGCTTCAGCTGGCTTTATTAGGTCCGGAGAAGATGCAGCGGGAGCTGGCCTCGCCAGTGTAGCTGGCGCCGCAGGGCCGCCTTGTGTCCAGGGCCTTCTTGCCTAGTGTCCCACAGCTTGGAGGATTTCTAGGGCCAAGGAGGCCACCGCGCTGTCTGCAGATGAACTGTGAGGAAAACCAGAGGCAGGGTAAAGGGCCGCCTCTTTCAAAGGGGCTGGTGTCTGACGGCCCAGCTGCTTCCCAGGGCCGCCCCTCTGCAGTGTGGGGAGGGACGCGCAGAAAGTGTTCCCAGGCTGAGGTGCAAACCTGTCAGCCCGCAGCACCCCCAGGCGAGGCCTGAGCTGCTGGCCCCCACCTTGGCATCTGAACAACCTGGGCCGGGTGCACTGAGCTGTAAGGCAAGTCAGACGGCAGCCAGCCCTGCCCGGGGCCGCCCGGGGCCACCCAGGGGCCCGCCCACCCTCTGCTGCAGCTGACTTGTACCAAATGCCCACGGTCACAGACCCACTCCACATGCCCACGGTCGCAGACCCACTCCACATGCCCACGGTCGCAGACCCACTCCACGTGCTGGCTCCGGCTCCGTATGGCCGCTTCCCGGCAGCCGGCCAGGAGCCTCGGGTTTCTACTCTCAGGTGTGCATGTGCAATCAAGAGCTTAAAATGGAAACTTTGTTACCAGAGCAAACTGAGACACATTTAAACCTGTGCCCTGACAACTGTTAGCAAAGAAAAGAATGACACATAACTGTTCCTTGAAGTATAAAATTAGCTCCTGGCACGCTCCTGACTGCACAGAAATAGGGCTGTTGCCAAATAACCAGGGGTGGGTGGGGGCTGCATAAAAGGTGGGCCGCACAGCCGGGGTCCTGAGGGGCAGCAGGAATGCGCTGGCACGGGCTGCTCCGGTGGACTCGCGCTGCTCACCTTGCCCCCCAGAGCTGCCCCGGAAGGCCAGCGACTGGCAAAGGGCACGTCACCTCGGCCAGAGCCACATCAGAACCGAGAACACTGCCATCCACTCACTCTTGGTCAACATTGGAAAACCTTTTCTTTGGCCATCTGAGCGAAGCCCAAACAAGACAACTTCACAGCAGCAGCCGCCCTCCCAACACCGCCTGCCTGGCGCAGGCATCTAGCAGCTGGAGGAGAGGCCACCAGCTCCACGGAGCACTGAGCCTCGCTTTGACATATCTGGCCCAGGTTGAGGCCATCATGAGGATGCACTGGCTTTGGCCTGAAGCGGAGACGGAGGCCCTGCTAGGAGGGGAGACCCACCAGCACGAGGCCCGAGGCTGTTTGCACAAGGCCAGGGTCCCTGGGAGTGGCTGTCCCCTGCTCCTCACAAACCAGTCTAGCACAGAGCTAAGACATTCTGCTCTTCCCCCGGGGATCCCCACTATGCACATTAGGGGACAGAGGACGGTGACGCTTCCCACACTGGAAGGGATCTCGGGGAAGATGGGGGTCCCTGGTGTGTGGAGGGAATGGGGGGGCAGGAAGAGAGGAGTGGGTGTGTGAGTGCCGAGCCCAGGAGACTGCACTAGCCCTCCTGGGCCTACTTACCCGCCCGCAGGTGCCAGCCGCTCCAGAGCCCGCAGGAGGCTGCCCGCGTGCTGGAGGCTCTCCAGGTGCTTCTCATTGGAGGTGACCTGCAAGGGAGGGAGGAGGAAGCAGTCGGTGGGCCCATCCCCAACTCGCCCCACTGGGTGGGCGCCCTGAGTCAGGCTACCTGTGGCCTTGGGGGGCACGCCCCCAGCCTCATCCCACAGGACATGCTGACCATGGGGATGGAGGCGGGCTAGGGTGAGCACGAGGGAGTCGCTGGGGCTGGGGATGTGCCAGGTCATGGTGGGGTCTCAGCTTCCTGGTGAAAGCAAATGATGAGTGAATGAACTTTCCCGTTGTTGGCGCCAGGACCCAGTGGGCCCATGTCCTGGGGTTTCTGACCCAGCACAACCTCTTTTGTATGGAAGGAAGAATCATGAACCTGGGTGCTGGCGATCTGGGGAGCCCGAGAGAGACGCACCAAGAACCACACCAGGTCACCCCCTTCCTGGGACATCCCAAAGAAAATTAGAAAATATTCTTAACTGAAATTAAATAGCTATACAATATATCAAAATCTGTGGGATGCAGCCAAAGCGGTGCTTAAAGGGAAATTCATGGTACTAAATACATTAAAAAAGAAAGGTCTCAAATCCATAATCTAGGCTTTCGTGTTAAGAAACTAGAAAATTAAGAGCAAGACAGACCCAAAGCCAAAGAGGGAAGGAAAAAAGCAGGAGTCGAGCAGTGTGGTAAATGTAACCTCCAATATGCTAAAACGTACACTCATTGTAGATTTACCAAATACTACAAGTAAAAGGCTGAGAATTTCAAACTGCACATAACAAAACAGAACTACATGCTGCTTACAAGAAAAATACCTAAAATATGAGGGCAGAGAATAACTTAAAGAATGTAAAAGATATTCCACACGAGCAACAACCAAAGAAATCTTGGGCAGCTAATATCAAAGTAGGCAATAATCATAATTACAGATAAAGAGAGACACTTTATGTTTATTAAAAGATCAATTGACCAGGAAAATATACCAAGTCTAATTCTAAATCCACCCAATAACAGCCTCAAGATACATAAAACAAAAAAATGACAAAACCAAAGTGAGAATTAAATCCATAATTATGGTGGGATATGTTTCAATCTCTCCCAGTAGCACACAAAAATCAGAAGGGATATAAACATTTTATCGGACAAAATTAACAAACTTGACCTAATTTACATGTATACACACACACACACACACACACACACATATATAAACCTTATATATATATGACAGACTTTTGAACAAACGGTGCTAGAATGCAGATGCTCGTGTAAAAACATGAACCCAGACATATTTCTTACACTTAAATAAAACATAACCCAAAATGGATCCTAGATCTGACTGTAAAACACAAAACCCAATAACTGCAGAATATATATTCTCTTCGAGTGTATATGGAAATTTTTAAAATACACCATATGCTGGGTCATAAAGCAAGTTCCGACAAATTTCAAAGGTATAAACAGATGGACGTACTCTATTCGTGGACTGGAAGACTCAGTATAGTAAAGATACCAATTTTCCCCAAATCTAGGTTTAAAGCAGTTCCTCTCAAAATCCAAGCAGGGTTTTTTATAATTATCTAGCTGATTCTAAAATTTGAATCTATAAATCTTAGGAACTAGATAGCTAAACCGGTTTTGAAAAGGGAGCATCAAGTTGGAGGGGCTGTACCCCCGACCTGAGATGCCCTGCGCAGCTATGGCGACCATAATGCCGTCGTGCGGCAGAGGGACCGGCGCCGAGATCAGTGCGACAGGATCGCGGGCCCAGAAACGGGTCAAGTTTTCACAAACATGCGACAATAACTGGGGGAAGAAAAGACAGACTTTTGAACAAACGGTGCTAGAATGCAGATGCTCGTGTAAAAACATGAACCCAGACGCATTTCTTACACTTAAATAAAACAATCCAAAATGGATCCTAGATCTGACTGTAAAACACAAAACTATAAAACTTCTAGAAGAAAATACGGGAGAGAAAAAACCTATGGGAAGTTGGGTTTGTTGATGAATTCTTAGATACCACACAAAAAGCATGATCCCTGAGAGAGAAAAAAAAAATGACTAATTGGACTTTATCAATATTACAAAGCTTTGTTCTTTGTGAAATACTGATAAGAGAATAAAATAAGCCATAGACTGGGAGAAAATATCTGCAAATCACATATCTGATACAGGACTTTTACCCAGAACATATAAGGAAACCTTAAAACTCAACAAAAGGTGCCGGCCGGTGTGGCTCGGTGGTTGAGCGTCAATCCATGAACCGGGAGGTTATGGTTCGATTCCCGGCCAGGGCACGTGCCCGGGCTGCGGGCTCGACCCTCAGTAGGGGGCGTGCAGGGGGCGGCCGACCGATGGTCCTCATCACTGACGCGTGTCTCTCTCTCCCTCTCCTGTCCTCTCCCTAAATTCAATAAAAACATTTTAAAGAAACACAACAAGAGGATCATCAACCAAATTTTAAAAATAGGCAGGAAATCTGAATAGACACTTCACCAAAGAAGGTACATGGGTGGCAAATGGGCACACGAAAAGACACGCAGTGTCACTGGGCATCAGGGGATGCGGGTCTAAGCCAGCACAACAGCGGCACAGTCGGAAGGCTCGGTTCGGCCGCAACGCTGACGACAAGCCGGGGGGCGGCAGGCTCGTCACTGCTGCGGGGACGCAGAACACACAGCACCTGGAAGGCGGTCTGTCGACGCCTCACAATGAAACTACCCCCATCCTACAGCCCAGCAATTACACTCAGGCGTCTGCCCAAGTGCACTGCCAACTTACGTCCCCGTAAAAACCTGCAGGAAGCCCCGGCCTGCGGCCCGGTGGGTAGAGCGCCGGCCGCGCTGAAGGGCCCCGGCGTCGCTGCCTCGCTTGCAGGCTCCACCGGGCGCGTGCGGGAGGCACCCAACCAATGTGTCTCTCACGTCGATGTTTCTCCTCCCCCGTCCCCCTTCCACTCTGAAACGCAATGGGAAAAAGATCCTTAGGAGAGGGGTGAAAATAAACACCCGCAGGCACACAGCTACAGCAGCTTATTTCACAGTCACCACGAAGCAGAAGGAACAGACGCCCTTCCACAGGGAACGGAAAAGCCGTGAGGGAAGCGCTCGTGCATTACTTGGTATATTATACGTCTGATTTGATTTCCAGAGTGAGATATGAGTCAAGTCAAATCTGGGTAATTCTGAGAAGATGAGAGCTTTAATTTGCCTTGCTAAACCATCTTGTCCTGCGGCACCCGTTCTCTGTGATTAGTCAAGTCTGCAATATTGAGAGTTCCAGTGGCTTTGAACCCAACGATCCTCAGGCGTGAATTTCTCCTCTCCCCGAGTCTGGTCTCCTGTTAGGCCCCTGAAGGTTATAAATGAAGATGGAAACCCACCTTGTGGAAACATCCCACGGCTTCCACCAGACAATGTGGCCCTCAACCTTCTATTTAACCTTCCCTAAAAGCCAAATGGTGGGTCTGCAAAGTCACCCCACCTCTCCTCCTTTGAGTACTTAAGCAGAGAATATTTTCCGCACAGCGAGACCCGCAGAGAAATCTCACCATCGGGATGAGGCATGTTCCCTGCAATGCTGAATTTGTGGCTCAGCAACTCCTGAAGCACCTCCTGACTTTCAGAAGGTAAAGAACATTTGCAAGGGGGACGGCAGGGGGTGCAAACACATTACCTCCTCCTGTGGTTACTATTTTCATCACCAGCAGCCCATTAATTCCCACAAGCCAAGCCAACTCAATTTTATTCTGCAGTAAGGTGCTACTACAGCAGAGGTGCCTGGGACTCTGAGAGTCCACACGTTTTCGATTTCATTATTTCAAAACTTCGAATGGCAGGTGTCCGTCTCCTGCAAACAGCCGTGCCCACCTCAAGTTCCTCTGCTTTATGCTGAAAGCCTGTCACCCGAATGTGGAGCACCGGTCCTTATCTCACGCAGCTGCTGAGACACCTGACCAGCACCTATGTGGCTAAAATCCATCCACAGGGAGACATGGATTATACCAAAGGCGCACAGTCCACCTGCTACACGTGAATCTTTCAGAACACGGGGTCTTCACAGGGAAAATGATTTAAAAGTTGGAAGTTGGAGCTTGGCGTTAGGATCAACTTGGAAAGATGGTTCCTCCCCTTCTGTGTAACTGAGGATATAATATAAAAGCTGATCATGCACTTTGGGTAAATACATCACTTTACCCAGCCCCCCACGTGGTGGCCTGGCCCTCGGCTCTCACGCATCACTTGGTTTAACCAAAACACTGGAAGTGTCCTGCAGAATCAGCCCTCGAGTTTCCCACCAGGCTCACGAATTGTAGGCGGTGGCTTCGCACACAACCCGTGGGACAGGGCTGGGCTGGCTTCTTCTGGACTCTGGCTTCCCAAGTGCAAACTAACAACAGAAGTGTCTCATCTCCCCGATGACCCCGATGACCGTGTGTAGTTGAGGCTTCAAGGACAGAGAGGACAGTGGCTCGTCCGGGACAAACCGGCCACTGAGGGACAAAGCCAGGCCTGGTGCCTGTGCACCTTATCGAAGGCCTTAAAAACATGTACATCAGAATGCACTTTTATTTCCATCATCGTGGTGGAGCATGGCTATACGCTCCTAAATGTGAGCCCAGCAGGCCATCCAGCGCTCCGGGGTGAGCTCCATGCAGAAATGGTTTGGGGGATGGACAGCACTGTGGCTGCACCGCGTCAGGAGCGGGCGGGTCATGGGGGGTGTCTGTACCGCAGTGACCCTGAGTGTGGGGGCAGAGGAAGCCACGTTAACTCCGGCTTTCCAATCAGGAGCTCCCCGGGACGGGCCCGGGCGGCACCGAGAGACGAGCAAAGAAATCGGGGGCCGAAGGGGACCACAGCGAGCACAGCCCAGGTGCTGGCTGGCACAGACACACGCCTCGCAGGGGAGGATTATTTTAATTCCGTGGCCTTCAGATCTCATGAATACAAGTGAAAACAAGCAGGTAACTACGACAACTCTACTTCAGAGAATTTAAATTCCAAAAATAAACCCACCCTCCCAGCCCCTTTGT